TTAGATTCCGGCGGAATCCATTGGAATTCCATTCAGAATCCAGTGGAATCCATTGGAATTCCATTCAGAATCCGGCAGAATCCACTGGAATTTGAGATTCCTACCATTCCGGCGGACTCCAGATGGAATTCCGACATTCTATGGGAGTCCGTCGGAGTCCGCCGGAACTCATGGGGGAGGGTAAAGTACTGACATAGGCCCCCCATCCCGGCATCAGCTCCACATCTTTAAGATGCCGTTCTTTGCCTTTGAGTTTGAAGTTTCCATTGACAGTGATGAAGAGAGCGTACAAGAATCTGTTTGAGCGTGAGCGCCAAGACGACAGAACAAGAACAATAGATAAAACTCACAATAAAGGCAATACTTTCCATTCCTCCACTGATTCCTACTGGAATCCCTAGATTCCGGCCGGAATCCTGGAATTCCGGTAGGATTCCTGGAATTCCGCAGGATTCCGGCCGGAATCGACAGGAATCCAACTGGAATCAACAGAAATTGAACACTAGGACTTCTGGTTAATTAATTTTGGACCCTGAATCTCCTTCTTTAGGTCAGACAAATAGAATTGTAGCACTAAATCTTTTACTAAACAAGGGCATAAGGCATCCGACTAGTTACTTACTACTACATGGATTTATTTATTTCAATCAGATTCAGAGACATTAGATTCTGCATGTTGTTCATCCAAACCCAAGTCTATGTGACTTCATGCCTATCATATTTATTGTAAGTCTAATGTAGTCAGCCAATTTATTATTATATCTTGTCCTATAATAACCTCACAAGTTTCTTCTTAGAACAGTTATATAGATTCAAATTCTAATATATTGAAGTGGTACACAAAGATTATTTTACTGTATTCTAAGTTAAAGGAAGGGGGGGAGGAGGGGGGCAGAAATAAATGGGGGTGGAGGAAGGAAGGGATGGGCAGGGAAGGGGGAGGGAAAAGGTAGGGGGAAGGGTGTAGGGACAGGGAAAAGGAAGGGGGAAGGGTGTAGGGACAGGGAAGGGAAGGGGGAAGGGTGATAGGGAAAAGGAAGGGAGTAGGGACAGGGAAAGAAAAGGGGGAGGGACAACACTTGTCGCCATGTGTACGTGGTGGAGCGGGACACGCTCGTCGTCGTTGACGTGGCCGTCCATTGGCATCGTCGACGTCATCTGTTGGCGTTGTCGTCTGTTGGCGGCATTGTCGTCGTCGGCCGTTGGCGTTGTCGTCCGTTGGCGTTGTCGTCGTCTGTTGGCTTCGTCGTTGTCGTCTGTTGACGTGGCGGTGGTCCGTTGACGTGGCGGTGGTCGCTCGTCGTCCACTAACGTGCTCGTCGTCTGTTGACGTCGTCGTCGTCTGTTGACGTGGGCGTCCGTTGATGCGGTCGTCACCCGTTGACGTGGTGGTGGTGTCGTCGTGGGCGTGTCGTTTGTTGGCGTGGCCCTCCGTTGACGTGGTGAGGCGTGTCGTCGTCTGTGGGCGTGGTGGTCATGGTCGTGCGTTGACGTGGTTGTCCCTCGTCGTGTGCCTGGTGTTAGCAGGCTGGGTGGGACGAGCTTGGGATGGGGGGTGCTCACCTATGACGACGAACGTCGCAAGTCGTCGTTCGTCGTCTGGTTACCACGTCGCTGATAGCGACGTGGCAACGTGTTGGCGCACTCGTTTACTGAGGCTGGTGACGTGGCGTTGGGGTGTCGTTTCCGTGTCGTGGCCGTGGTGTTGTGTTGGGGTCGTGGTGAAACGACGACGGACGTCGTCGTTGTGTGCGTCGTGGTGGCCGTTGGTGACGTGGCGGTGTTGCGAGGTGGGTTGGCGTTGTGGATGATGGTGGTGGTTGAGAGAGTGGGAGTTGTTTGTTGATGACGCCCAAATCAAGCATCGGCAAACGCCGACACTCGATTTGGGCGTCAGGAATTCCGTTCCGTCTCATTCCGGGATCATTCCTTCCGGGTGATTCCTGGAACCATTCTGGCGGAATTTGAATTCCATCAAAATTCCGCCGGAATGGTTTGATCAATTTGGCAGGGCCCTCTGCCAAATTTGATTCCTCCGGAATTCCAGGAATTGCCTGGATTCCGCCGGATTCCGGCAGGAATCAGTGGAGGACAATAAAGACCTCAATAAAGGCCCTGCCTTTTCCCAGTCATCAGGGAGATTGCATCCAGGATGAGGACAAGCTGGGCACTCAACCATCAACTCCCCTTGAGAGGTCCCAGCAATGCCTTGAGGATCATGCCCGCGACCTGCTCGTTTGAGGGACATTAGGTTCCTCCACATTCTGAAAACTCTGTGCATTTCGTCGTATCGGTACTATTGGCACTTGACATTAGAGCTAGTAATAAGACGAAGCAGGTATACACTTACAATGGATGTCGACAAGTTTGCGTTGTCGGACAGTCAAAGAAGGGTGTGGTAATAGTCGTACAAGTTTGTCTTTCCTTGTAAAGTGAGCTTGTGGAATGTTTTGAGACATTCAAAGGTGAAAACTAATTGCGGGCATGAAAGCGTGGCGGGAAACCATCGTTCATGTAGTAGCTGGGCCCAATTTGATACGGGTTCGTCACCACATTGACAGCAGTCGATTGCGAGATGTTGAGGGCCAGAGCTATCAAAGATAATGAAGTTCTTTGGGCCAGCTTGAGGACAAGGGCAGGGTGCCCCAGAATGGCCAAGTTGGTAGCAAAGACCAAGGGTTTGGAGGGTCGTCTTGACGAAAAACGACCCATTCCACTTCTGGCAGAAGGAACAGTGAGCTGAGTTTGTTTGTGTCAGGTGACAAAAGACACTCACCTCAACGCGATGCAAAGGGAGCATCTGATGCATAAGAAGTGTACAATCTAAGCACTTTAACAAACTTCCGTTGCTGCAACTCATGCATTTGAAGATGCCATTGTGTTTTCGGCAGCTCAAACAGCTCGTTTGGCCCAAAAAATCCCCCAAACCATCATGCCGAAACACTTCATCCAAGAAGGTGCCCCTGAACTGAAGCCATTCTGTGAGTCAGTCCTAAGAAAAACACTTCAGTATCTGTTTGAAAAATGATTGAAATTAATCTTACAGCATTCTTGGTAAACCTTTTTCTCTTAGGTTTTGAAGTGGTCTTGGTATTGGCTGCTAGCAGTTCTCCAGCCTCTGCCTCATTCGGGACCTGAATTTGAACTTGGACAAACTGGCACTAGTAAATGATCATGTGTACCAGTTGAATAATAGTTACGCTGAAGCCTGAGACATCTGATGTTTTCTTGAGTTGGAATCCAAGTCTGGTCAGTACAGTTGAGTGCAAAAAGAATGAAGGTTGGTTCATTTTTCTGGTTCTTTCTAAGAATCTATTGTACCTCAAATGTATTTCTGTATTCTTTTACATTATGTAGTTGTGTTACACTTCCCTTGGTATGGACTAATTTCAGTGAAAGCTGGAGCCTTGAGAAGGTTTTTATTCTGGAGGCCATTTTTGGCATCTGAAAAAAAAAATATGTGCTAACTGGGGAGGTAGCCAGAACATACCTCTGGACAACCTGAATGAGCCTATCAAAGAATTAGTTA